TAGGATACGTGACACCTTGGCGGACACGTCGGCGTCACCTTACCACATATTGGTACTCAAAAATATATCGCCACATTTTCCTTTCACGTTAAGCAATTGGATTTGACGTAGCTGAGTTGTTTTATGACTGTTATTCATACATCCACCTCCACTATTGGGTTTCTTTACACTGTCATTTGCTTTTTGAAGTCTTGATTTCTTTGAGTTTAAAAAATGGGGAAAAAGAGGAAAGAGAAAGAATGAAAGGAAACAAATTTTGTGAGATTATTATTATTATTATTATTTTGATTTGGAAGGATTCGGGGGATATTTGCTGCCCTTAGGGACAGCAGTTACTGCTACACCTTTAGGCCCTACTTGTTTTCAGAGGTGGAATGGATGAGATTGATAATAAAGGAAGTTTTGATGATATTTGTTGGTTTAAAGAATGTTAAATTATTTTTATATAAAATAAATATAAAATAATAAAACAAATATAAAAATACAAAAACATTAAACATTAATATTTTTAAAAAAATGCCCAAGATGTAAAAAATTAAAAAAAAAATAAAAATAAAAATAAAATAAAAAATTTATAGAAAAAAATAAAACAAATAAAATAATGATTTTTGTTTAACAAAAAATATAAAAAATTAAATATTAATATTCAAAAAAAATGCCCGACATGTAAAAAATAAAATAAAAATAAAAAAATTTTAGTCCGCCGGATTATTTTTCTAATACCAAGTCTTGGAGGCCCAACCGAATCCCCTTGGGGAGGCCCATCTTAATTCGGAGTTCACTATCAATCCCCTCCATATCTCTCAAAACAAACACAATATTTATGGATCTCATCTCGCTGCCAATCCCACTCCTCCTTTTAACTCTCTAAACAAAGGGGCCTTAAACTGCCATGTTTTGGTCAGGCCATGACTTTTCCTCTTATTGTCTTTGTGTGAACCATTATGCTTTCCAAAGTTTGAAAAGCTATTTCCTGAAGGATCTGTGCTCTTTAATATAGTAGTTGTAAAAAAAGAATTGTGGGCAAAAATCTCTCACACGCAAGGTTGGAGTGAGGACTAAGGTATGTATAAGAAAATTTAACTTAATTTTAATACATAATAGAATTTGTATTTGTTCAATTCCACTCTCTTAATAGAATTTGTATTTGTTCAATTCCACTCTCTTAATAGAATTTATATTTGTTCAATTCATTTCTTAATGGGTTTGAATTTTGTTTTTTTATAAATAAATCTTTGGGTTTAGTTTGATTATTTGATTAAAAAAAGGTCAATTGATGGTGTTTGATTACAATTCTAAATTATAGATTGTTTGATTTTTTCAGCTTGATTAACTCAAAAAAAGTGAGATTACTTGTAATTTTTTTCAACTTAAGAATGTGCTTGAATTCATTTAAAATTAAGTAGAATAGGTTTGAATTTTCAATTTAGAAGCTAAATAGTATAATGATAGCAGAAACAAATGAGATAAAGAGAGATTATCTTTAATTAAATTCCATGTATATATAATAATTTATGAGAGGGAGATTTATGATTTGAGATTGGGCCGTGACGTTAGCCGGACAGATTTGGGCCGAGGTATTGGGCTCCAAGATCAGGCCGTGATATTGCTCGGTAATGGTAAAGCCCACATGGAACCGAGCTATATGATCTCGGTTCCGCGAAGGGCGGACAGGTGGAGGAACAGCCCAGATGAGGCTCCCCTCAGGCCGTGATATTGCTCGGTAATGGCAAAGCCCACGTGGAACCGAGCTATATGATCTCGGTTCCGCGAAGGGCGGACAGGTGGAGGAACAGCCCAGATGAGGCTTCTCGGCTCACGCGTTGCAAGGCTGTAATGCACGCACCTTAACCCGGTAGGAAGGCCGGCGCTTGGAGCTTGCCCGAGAAAGTTGTTAGCTAACCGGCACAACCAATCTCCGGCTCAGCTTCGCCGGAATACAGTTGAGCACGGCTGGAATTAGGCCCGGTAGTAGGAAACTATATCAACTGCATTTCGGCATGTTCAGTATGGCCGTTGATAGCCGAGATAATGTTGCCCGGCTGCCGTGCTCCCAGCAGAGTGGGCTGGCAGTTGGGTTAGGTGATGTATAGCAAGATTTGTGCTGACAGATGGGATAACAGAGCCACGTGTCGAGAGACCAATGGGAGTAGATTTGGGGCACAGAAGGGTATATAAGCATGTCTACGCCCCCCATACGGGACACAAGAACATTTTGTAAGGAAATTCTTACACTCAAACACTCCTCTCTCTCTCTCTCTCTCTCTCTATTCTAAGGTGTGCGCCAACTTGATTGTCGGAGGGTTTTTTCGACCACACACCGCCGGGTAGCTCACCGTTATTTGCTCGCAGGTGATCGGACAGAAACGGAGCTCAGAAGAAAGGAGTACGGGCTTGCCGGAATATTTGCTCCCCGTACAATTTAGTTGTCATTTTTTTTTTTTTAATATTAGCAAAGATATGTATCAATACTAACAATGAGTACACCATGAAAATGAAATCTTAAAATACCACCATAGTGTATTTGCTAATCATTTTTCACATTGGAGGAGGTTGTGCCTCTTTGAGTTGGTTCAGACCATGGTTGTTTTGTTGTGGTTATGCCTCTGATTAGGTTGCTTCAAACTATGATTGTTTTGTTTGGTTGTCAGGTGGCATGAGAGGTGTCAACACTCTTCATGGTTTTCTTGAAAATATTGTTGGCTTTAGAATTTCATTCTTATTATTTTATTTTTTTTATACAATTCCAAAAGTTTGTAGCCATGGTTAGAAACTATGAAGCATGGACACGCCAAAATGGAAGCCGTGGGGGTGTCGGATACGGGGATATGCTGGGGACACAGGGACACGCCGGAGACACGTACGGGACACGGCATCTGGTGTGTCCTCTTAATCTAATTTATTTTTTTACAGGGGATACGGCAGAGACACTGCAGGGACACACGTGTCCAAATCTAGACACACCATGGACACAACGACACAGTGAGAAGAGTAAAATGAAAGGGAAAACGAGTACAAACCTGGTCAGCGACGAACCAGAGCCCTTCGACTTCGACGATCCAGAGCCCCATTTGACTTCGACGAGCTCTCTCTCTCGCCTTTGCCTTCTCAGATATCTCTCTCTCTCTCTCTCGCTCCTTTGCCGACTCAGAGCTCTCTCTCTCTCGCCTTTTTTCTCTCCCTCGCGATCGCGATCCTCTCTCTCCCTCGCAATCGCGATCATCTCCCTCTCTCTTGCTTCTATCTTGCTTCTGTCTCCCTCTCCCTCTCCCTCTCCCTCGGTTCTCTCCCGTCTTTATCTTCTCGTCTTTTGATTCATCATATATAATATATATAACTATTATACATATTATAAGATAATATATACTTATACATATTAATAAATAAATAAAAATAAACACATGTATGTAAAATAAAAATAATAAATTAATTGGAACACATTATTTAAAAAATATAATAAATAAATAAAATAATTAATGTGTATTAAAACAAAAATATTTATAAAAAAAATTAAAAAATTTGCCGTGTCCCCTGTCGTGTCCGTGTCTCCATTTTTAGAAATTGCTGTGTCCCGTGTCCGTATCCGTATGCGTGTCCGTATCCGTGTCCGTGCTTCATAGGTTAGAACTCTATTTTTGTGTATATAACCTACTCTACTACACCACTATATCACTATGATATTGAATAAATGATGGGCGTGACAACCCAATACTACACGCACATAAGGCAAAGAAGATCTCAATCATATGCTATTAGTAAGTTTGTTGTCCCCTAGTACATGAGACTAACTAAGGATGTCATTTATATACTTTTTCAAACACAGATAGCATAGGATATCCATATGTAGAAAACATTTCCATGGAGTCACTACTACAATAATGGTTAAAAGTCACACTTTTAAGAATGAATTTAGATAAGATTCATGCTTAAAAGTAGCAAATCATGAGTACAAAACTCTAAAATTCTGCTCAAAGTGTGGTATGCTTTAGTCTGAATTTATGTTCAATGTTGAGAAGTATAGATAAGGAACATGAGGTTGCACCTGCCTTGCTCCATTCTACAGACTTCATGCACAAATTTTATAGCTTTCTTTTGTTTTATTTTAAAGCTATTAAATATATTTTATAGCTCTTTTTTTTTCTTTATTATTATTATTTTTTTCTTTATTTATTTTTTTTTTTTTTCAATTTGACAATTCTAATGGCTTCTATGAGTTGCGTTTGCATTGCTGAATATATCTATTGAATTGTGGTTTTAACTTTGCATACCTGAACATCATTTATAATTTTTAGATTAGATATCACTCTCTTGAAGAAAAAATAGCCTTTGGACCTAGTTGTTGGTTGTGGGATTATTTAAGAAGAAGTGGGGCTTCTGGTTTTTTGCTTCCACTTTCTAGTGGTGCTAATAGCCCATCTATTACTGCTGCATGTGCTTGTAGTAAAAGGTAAGTTTTTAGCCTAACAAATAATGGCAGTATTCTAGTACTGTACCAAATAATATTCTGCAAATCAACTCATAATTAATTAATTTAGGTACTTCATAGCACATGAATTTAGGTACTCATAGTGAGAATTGTATCTAAAACCCCCAAATGTTTCACCTCTTGATTCCATGATTGATGTGTGAAAAATAAAAAGCTGTTTGCTTCTTCAATTCTATACGATAATTATTCTTTGTACTGTGCATTTTAGGTGTTTAATTCTTTTTCTTTTGATATTTTTTTTTTAATAGAGAAACTATCTTGAATCTTGTTAATTGTGTGGGTAGGGTGGCGGGTTGGTTTGTTTGTTGATCTTTGCTTGTCTTCAAGACTTCAAGTGAGTAAAAGAAAAAAAGAAACATTGTGTTCCCTAATATCAAATCTTCAATTTCAAAATCATGCACACAGGTTAGTTGACTTTGAATGGTGTAAGGTGTGAAGACATGCTTGAAACTATTATGAAAGTGAATTTCCCCCCTCCCCCCCCCCCCCCCCTCCCTTTTGTCTTCTTTAAGTAGTGAAAAAATAAATCCTTGTGCAGGCACCAGAGATGGGATTACTGGTAGCAGATTTGGTATTATACCTTGAAATACCACCAGAGGTAATTTGTTCTATTATCATGTTTATTGGTGAAATTAGGGTAGGATAACTTTAAGATCTCATCCATGTTGTGAAGCTTTGCAATTTGAGTTAAAAAGCCTGCTTTTTGGATGGCTTGTTTAGTAATTGATGAAAAAGTTAGACTGTGTTGTGAATTGATATGTTTTGGAAGCCACATCAATATAATTTTCCAAGGTGTGGTAAAATAAAGGATGACCATTGATTTAGCTGTTAAGGTCATCTGTTTTAAGACTGATTTCAGCCTTATAACAAAGTATTAGTGAACTGAATGTCATGTTGAAAAACACTTGATTTGCCCATGAGTTGTTAAGTTTTTGTTGTATGATATGGTGTAAATTAAGAGATTTCCTCTGTGTGTATGTCCACCATTTAAAACTGTTGTCAGGGTAACTGAAAAGGTTAATTTGAAATTGCCAGAAAGTTGCTGAAAGAGGAGACTATGGCGGCGAGAGATATGAGCAGCTTGATGTTTCAACAAAAAGTTGCCCGTTCCTATCAGATGCTCCATGACACCTCATGGAAGGTAATAGCTATGTTTTTTCTATTTTTAATGCCAAAGGAAAATAGTCTGGTGTTGTTACTCTCACCAAAAAACTATTTTGTTCGACTCCTTATGATGCCATCCTGTGGGTGCCCCCTCAGATTTTATCATGATCTTTTTTGGTGACAAAAGAAAAAAGAACAAAAATTTTGAACAATTGCCATAAAAAACTGCGCCCAATTGATGAGTTCATAAGCTCAAGCACTTACAACCCCATTCACAAAAGGAATCCCAAATGGAAACTTTTATTAAGTTACTTACTCTTCATTTAAGGAAGTCTTAAAATTGTTGTATTTTGATTTCTATCCTTTAAATATTTTATTATTTGATCAATGTATAAAATAATGTATTTACTTTAAGTGTACAGTGTCAAAAGAAAAAGTATGAGAAGCACCATAATACAGCAGATGGCCGCATTAGAATATGGCTTGGAATAAGGCAAATTATGAATTCTACTGATCATTTACTAACTGACAGGAGGGACACTGTAAAAGAACTAAAAACTAGAATCCACATGGTAAGAAAACGCTCTCTTTATCTCTCTTGATATGCATATAGATCAATGTTTTTTTTAGATTTTGAATTCCATAGCCTGGTACTATACATATTAAAGCTTTCTTGAAATATAAATATACTCTTAAGTTCTATGAAAACTGTTTGGATCTGATGACCCAAAATGAATGTACACAATCAAACTTCCAGAGTACCTTATCATCCCTAGCAATACACAATCAAACTTTTATGTTGTTTACAGTGTGCTCATAGCAATTTCAGTGGTTGTGAATTTATCTATGGATGTGTCCCTGTACAGTTGATGAGATGTACCTAACTACTATACAACTATATCACTATGATATTGAATAAATGATGGGCATGACAACCCAATACTACACACACGAGGCAAAGATCTCAATCATATGTTATTAGTAAGTTTGTTGTCCCCTAGTGCATAGGACTAACTGAGGATGTCATTTATGTACTTTTACAAACATAGATAGCATAGGATATCCATATGTATAACTGAGCACTAAACTTTTCTTATGCTATTATTGCTTTGAATTAATTTTCATACTTAATTGCAGAGATTTTATATGCTCAATTGAGCACTAAACTTTTCTTATGTTATGATTGAATTTTTGAAGGCATATGATATGTGGTGTTCTCTGCAATTATGATGGACCTAGACTAGATTGCTACAAATTAGCAAGGTGGCAGTAGAGAGGTCATCAGGATTGCAGGTACCACATGTTTAGTTTTTGGACCATATGGATAATGATCATATGACTATGACTTTGGTTATGTTTGTGAATCTTAAATTTTGCTGAAAATAGAGGGAAAAAAGGTAAGTGTTAGAATTACGCCAATAGACACATCATAATTTCCTCCATTTTAGATTTACCAACTTACGATGACCACCGCCACTAAACCAATTTCCCTATGTTTCTCTCTCCTCTTTACATTTGTTGAATTATTTCTTTCCTCTCTTGTGAAAGAGCATAGAACTACCAGATCACAAAACCTTGTATCCCTTTCCCCATTTTTGTCTTGGTTTGAATTTTTGGATTAAGTCATTTTATGTTTTGGCAAATTTTTGTCTTTGATTTGGCAAATTTATCGATTTTCATGGACTGTGTTGTACATTAGGAACTTTGTTCTTCTTCTTCTTCAATAAAAAATGCAACTGAGTATGCATAGTAGTATTGTTGTGGTGCTGGTGCATGTTGGATATTTATGTGCTTAGCATTATTGTTGTTTTTTTCTTTTTCTTTTTCTTTTCTATAGTACTTATATGTTTAGAGTTCCGCTAATTTTAAAACCAAACCAGAAACTAATAGAACTCAAGCCAAAGTTAAAATAGGGCATCCAATCTTTAGCTACCCCTCTTTTTGGGTAATTTACCAAGAAAAAAAAAAGGGGGATAATGTTTTATGCTATTTGCATTTGCGTAACTCCTCTATTCATCATTCTGTTGATGTTGAATTTTGTGCAAGTAGCTCTGTTACATCGTGCTTCATTGCTTGCCTCCTCGTCTCAATTGCAGGGGAAGGATAAAATAGTTGAGGAGAGAAGGATAGCAATTTGCATCTTTGATGATGTTGCAGAGCAGTGTCACAAAGCAGCTCTGAAGTAAATATTCCTTTCAAAACATTTATGTAGATGTACTGATTGCTATTGTGGCCATTTATCCAATATAATTTTTCTACATGTGTTGAACAAATATTATGATACATATCTTCCTTTCCTTTTGGAAGCTTGCAATGACATGAACCCAGATGTCCGGTAGGTCTGCACAAACTACTCAATATTTGGTTTAATCCCTAAGTTTCTTTGCTGTTGATCACTTTTGAAACATGTTTATTTTCAGGCTGCTGTATATGGACTTGGCGTTTGTGTAGAACTTGGTGGTTCTGTTTTTGAACCTCTTGTTTTAGGTATAATCTGCTTCGACATTTTGGGAGTTGATTTCCTTCATATTTCCTTTGAATTGATAGTGTCTCTTTATACCTTGTTCAGAGGCTCTTTCAATGTTAAATGTTGTGATAAGGGACCCTAATGCCTTGCAACCTAAAAACATAATGGCATATGATAATCCTGTTTCTGCTATGGGAAAAATATGTCAGTTCCATCGTGAGAGTATAGATTCTGCTTAGGTAATACCTCTTTGTTTATTGTTCACAAGCCTATTCAAGCATAAATAATTCTGCAAAATGTGGATTCTTTGATTCTTTTGGTTCACCTTGAAACTTGAATATATTGCACAGAATGACTTTTAGTTATCTTAGGGTGTGTTGTGGGCTACCTTGCACCTTTTAAACGAACAAGGTCTTGACTCTTGATATGTGATTTGTTTGGCATTCATTAATCAGTATGTGTATCCTAAATATTTAATGAAATACTAGAGCTCTAAAATGGATTATTTATTTACTTGTGTTCCGATATACTTTGTGCAAGAAAACAAGATGATAAGTGATAATCAATTGGTAACTCGTGTACAATTTGCTTATGCTTTTTCTTTAGTGGATGCTTCTTTAATAGGGGGGATTTTTTTGTTTGTAGTGGCAGTTTCATTAATTGGTTCAGTTTCTTTTCCTTATTTGATGAAAACCAACATACTCATAGATGGACATTTCTCATAGTTCACATAGTTTTGTTTTTTTTTTGTTTAATTAATGACTTATGTGTGTCTGTATCTATATGGCCTAGATTTAGTAGCAAATTATATTTTTCTGTACAAACTTAATTGTTTGTTTGAAGATTCCTACTCATTTCCCTCTAGAAACATTGCAACAAAAGAGGTAACTTCATTTGAGGTATGAAAAAAAAGGTTTTGTTTTATATGGATTTTATTTGCATATACATTGAGACTATTGAGATTTTGAATTTTTGCTAATTTTTCATTATGATATGGGGCCATTAAATTATCTTATTAATTTTGAAAATGTTTTGTTTATGTTTTAAAATTTCTTGATCATTTCTTAATACTCAAGAAATATTTTTGACCCTGAGTCGTTGGTTTTTGTACTTATGTGAAGTTTCTTCTGTCATGCAGACAAGAAATGCAACAGGGTTAGTTGCTTCAGCTATTGCCACGGGTTTAGATACCTTAACATATACATTGGGCACCCTCGTCCCTGTGATAGGAGCAAGTGGATTTGCTACTGTTACAGCTACAACTGCAATAGGAACTATTGTCGGTAGTTTTAGATAATTTCTTAATAGTTGTCGATATGTTTAAAAAGTTAGATATGCATAGTTTTGGGTGGTTTAAACTTTTTGTACAGTTTAGAGCTTAAGGATATAGTTTTTGAATGTTTGGAATGTATAAACAATTGTTGAATATTTATAATTTATGGATATAGTTTTTTTTTTTTTTATGTTTCAAACAATATTTTGGTGGTTGATTGATGTTTTGTGATGCTTGTTTGTAATATTTGTTAGATTGTACAAAATTAGTCAAATAGAACTTGTTGAATTTAAAAATAAAAAAAAAAAGGGGGCATATTCTATGGCAGGCATAATAAGTCGTATTACATATTTTACAACGTGCAATCAGCGTCGTTATTTGTCTTACTAATTAATGGCGTGCAAAAGTAGTAGAAAAAGTAACGACAATGCACAAAATGTCGTTAAATAGTTACAATAGCATGTCGTAGAAAAAGTAACAATGATTTACAAAATTTGCCATTAAATAGTTTTTGATGGTATACGAAGCATGTCGTTGAAAGTGAATGGTTTTCCATGACTGGTTATAATATGACGTGCGCTGCATGTCGTAGAAGTGCGCATGCCGTAGAAACCATTTTTTGTTGTAGTGATGAAAAGAGTAGACAGAAAGTGAACAACCTTCACTAATTTAAACATATCTATTAAAATTTGGATGTGAGACCACCACCATTAGAAACTGAACTTCTAGGGTTTGAATTTAGGCTCAAGAATCACTTAAAACGGAGTATATATTTTTAATATATAAATAATGTATTTATATATATTTATATATTATTTAATATATAAATAATATATTTATTATATAATTTAAATAAAGATAAATGAGCCGAGCTCATGCGAGCTCGAGCTCGGCTCGTTTGAGCTTGTTCATGAATATATTTGCACCCCTAATAAAAAGTAACCTTACCTCCCTTTACAAAGAATTCAAATTTAATTACACTATCTCTATACACTTGTCTTCCCCATTCTCTCTCTAGCATGACTTTACTATCGGAGGGGCTTCCGACCAAACCTTGGTCAGGCAGTCTCACTGTTTGTTACTTGTGCAAGCCTTCATCTTTCGGAGCACGGCAATTCGTCCACAAAGCACACTCACTCTTTACATTGCGCAATTGAGGTCGCAAATTTGGCACCATATCCACCAGGTGGACCTACATGCTTGGAGGTTTATTGTGGGGGGGGTCGAATCCATCTCACATCAGTACGCTAGGAACTCTTAACTTACCTTATAAATGTGGCATACCTACGAATCTCTAAGATGCTTTTTTTAGTGAAGGAAGAACCAAAACATACTTACCCCGTGGTACAAAATGAACAATATTTCGGTGCGTGTTACAATAGTAGAGTGGTCCGCATACCTATAATATTTCGAGCTTAAATAACTTCTCAATAATGAACAGTAACATTTGTCAACCGTTTTAAAATATATTTAAATATCTTAATTACAAAATAATTTTTTTAAATTCTAGGTTCACTTCTAATGACCTACTAAGAGTAAGGGGGGTTTGGGAAGACAGGTATTTAGTTAAAAAGTTAAGTTTTCAATTTATTTATTTATTTTTTTACTTTTTTACACTTTTTTATAAAAAAATTAAAAAATTACTAAAAATATTAATTCTCAAACATAACCTAAATTAAAAGGAAAAAAAAAAAAGCAGTTGATAAACTCACCATCTATGAGAATTGGGTCTTGTTATGGTGTGCAACCCCTTAAGGTTGCACACCATATGCAACCAACACAAAAGGTGTAAGTGGAAGGTGTAAACATCAAACAGGACAATAAACACAAAAAATGTAAGTGTAAGATGTAAGTTGCACACTTAAGAAAAGTCCATGAGAATTTATATCACGTGCACTGTCAGTTCATTGTTACTAAGGATGATGATTGCATAACCTCACAGTAAACAGTTAATTTTCGTAATTCATTGTTAATAAGAATCCCCCCAAGCTCTTATGCACATTCCATCTAAAAATATTATGGTATTAGTAGCATAAAAATAAAATTTTACTGAAAAATTAATAACAAAATTTGAAGTGATGAATTATTTAAAAGTAATGGATAGTAATTTGCAAAATTATGGATTGTTTCTAAAATATTCTTAACTATTGTAGTTATAATTGCATCTAGAGAAATAATTTTTTTTTAAATTGAAATTGATCAAATTTTATTTTCAATTTGCTAAGTCAACATAAAATAAATTTGAATAAATTAATAATATTACTTATCTAGTGGGTTTTCAAAATTTAGAGTATTACATCTATTTCAATAACTATGATTTATATTGACTATAGAAACCATATGATATTACTCTAGAAGTACAATATTATCATTGTTGTAAAAAAAATATATATATAGTTGATTCACTCACTAATACAATATTATCAAATTGAATTTATCATCTAATAATTTAAATGATTTCCATACATAACACGGGTTAAAAAAATTAATAATTTTAGTATTTGTATACATATGGAATCAAATTTTGTTATTAAATTTTTTTTTAAATAGAAAAATGTTTGGAACCTTTTTTTTTGGGCCCTCAACTCCTTTGGATCTCAACCATTGATGTATATGTGAGATCCACTCATGTATGTGTGGGGTCCACACCATCAATAGTTGCGATCCAAAAGGGGTTATGGAGATCCCAAAAAAAGGGATCTTAATCATTATTGTTTTAAATATATATATATCTATATATATTTAGTTTTTTTAAAGTCTCAATTTTTTGAGTTCACCTTAAACCGGGTTGGCCCTGCATGTGGAGTTCCTTTATTTTGATCTACAATGTTTTTTTATTTTGGGCTTTGGTTCTGCTTTGCCATTGCTGGGCTAGTAACTCCGTTTGTGGACTTCTTGTTCTCAGCATTGCAACATTTCTTTTGGGTTTGAATGTTTTCAAATTAATCATTTCAATTTAAAAGAGTGTTTGCATATGCTGAGCTCATTTTGAGGCTGATCTTAGTAATTTAAATCATTCATTTTTTAAAATTCGTTGAGTAAAATAATTATGTAAAAAATTAACATAATTAGATATTTATGTTTGAATCATATTCATATTATAAAAAATAGATAGTTGTTTTAAAAATTATAATTATTATCCATTTTTTAAAAATAATGTGATTCAAATAGGAGAGAAGTGGGAAATGCAGGAGAAACCAACTGGCCCTTTTTTCTATTACAATATTTAATGGTTAAAGAAGTGTTTTTTGAAAAAAATTTGGGTGTAGGTAAGGTACTATGTGGCATGTCATATGGTGACTTCAACCAATTACAAACATTATGGCCTCTCATGTTATCTCCCAATCACCCAACACATAAATGTAATCTCCACTCTCTCAATCAATGAACGAAGAGAAAAGTACCATATGACACCTATCCTAAAATTTCTCGTGTTTTTTAATCTCTTACGGTCCAGAAAATAAGGTACATAAATATAGCAAACAAACCTGTTTAAATTTTTTATACAAGTGAAGTAAGGCTGCAATTTGGGCAAACTTAATTTGTGCAATTCAAGTTCAGTTAAATTTTTTTAGAATTTGTATAAAATATTTTTAAATTTGATGCACATTTTGGTAAAAATTTAGAAATTCAAACTAAATTTGAATGAGTTTGGGCAAAGACACTAGTAAATCGAAATCCAAATTATATAAAGAAAATGGTCTTTCTATGATTTTGAATTTCAAAATTCAAAATAATATGGTAAGCACACCTTCATCCCACTCTCACCTTTTTGGAAATAATATAAATCTAAAATTTTAAAAACTCAATCAAATTAAAAATTCAATACAATTCTCTTTTTAAAATACTCAATATTTGATTTTTTTTAGCCCAGCCAACTCCTCCCCAAATGTAATGATGCAATTGTTATTCTCTCTTTTTGCCAATAGTCCAAACTTATTTCAAGTTTGTTTGTTTGTATTTTTTTTATTTTTTTTTTTTTTGTAAATTTATATTGTGTGAGTATTTTTTTTTTTCTTTTCTCTATATGACTTTTTTTTTCCAATGTATTTTTTTTCCAACTAAATTGATAATAAATATATATCTATTAACTATCTTTGTTTTGGGAATTGATTTGATTTTTTTTTTGGTGGATGTTTGTGTATTTTTATATTGTCGTTATTATTTCTTTTGATATATGTGAATTGATAATATAGTTATGATTTTTTTTTAATTAAGAATAAAGCTTCTTATATTATTCTTTATGATTTGGCTATTTTTAAAATTTCTTAAACCAAATTTTCAAATTTTTTATTTGTAAAAAATTAAAAAAAATTAATTGACTTGCCCATCAATAAATATTTAAAATTATCAATAAATAAAATTTAAAATAACGAACACTATTCCGTAATTTATGGATTTTTTTTAAAAAAAAATAACACCCATATATGGAATGAGAAAACCTAAAATCACGATTTTTTTTTTCTTCATTTTTAACTCTTTAAAACTCTAACAGTACTTTTTTATTTTCACAACATTGTCTTTTTATATCTACAAAGATAAAAAACTAGATCGGAATTACATAATGGTTAGTGAAGGTGGTGAGCATGGCAACAATAGGGTGATGATTGAGACCCCCTCCAATCACTACCCCCTCCCCCCCCCCACAGACATGTGGCGGGTGGTGATTGGAGGAGAAGGAATAAATAAATAAATAAAAAGAAAAAGTAACCAATCAGGTGAAGAAGGGGTCAAGGAGGTGGGAAAAAAAGAGAGTCCAAGTCATTATTGGGCAACAATAAGGGTGATGATAAGCTCAGCCAGAGCATTGTGTGGGTGGATTTTGAAAAGGTGAATATCAAAATAATAGTAAATAGTTTGGATGATGAATTGATTTAGAAAACTAATGTGTGGTTGAGATTAAGTATGAATTTTACCATATAAAAATTGAATATGAATCATATATTGTTTTTTATATATAATTTTGGGTACTTTTGTATAACTATCAAAAATTATTGTAATCACACGTTACTTATCATTTGATATATTATTATTGTATTATCGTAATGAATTTTATTATTAATATCTATTATTAATGCAGCGGTGATACGTTACACGTCAAACAAAAATATGTTTTGTTATTATT